GTACTACGTACCGTAACCTAACCTACGTATACGTCTCGTCGTATTACTACTTTACACGTAGTTAGTACGTACGACGTAGTAGTAGTAGAGAGAGAGAGAGAGAGAGAGAGAGAGAGGTAAATTACATTTTAAATGGTGAGCTAGATATTTTAGAGGTGTTGTGAAGGTGTCATGGAGAAAATTGGTGGACATTAATTCCAAGATATCTAAGAAGGAAACCACCATCATGGTTGGAACTACACTTTCAATTGAAGCAGTAAACAAAATTTGCAATGTCGCAATCTGTTGGTCTAGTTAGGGTGGTAAACTCAATGGATGTGAAACATAGACATGCATCAATGCTTAAAACTTGCCTCATCTAATTTCATTAGAGATCAGAGGCAGAGGGATACTACCCTAACATAGCTAGCGTGAGAAAAGTGGGCCCATATTCTTACAAATGATCAATATGAGAAAACGGGGCACCCCAATTTTACTCTAGGGTTGAACTATTGAGCTTTCCAATTCAAAACTGCTTCTTTGCAATCCTTGCAATGAAATTTAAATCACAAGGAGGAAGAGGATTCATGCAAAAAAATACAAGGAATTGAACATATCACCAACTAGTAAGGAAAGGTGGAAAGACTAAATGAAAAAACATAGATACAGTTCCATAGTGATCCAAAGCTTTAACATCTCTAAAAATTCAGAGCAACTGAACAATCATGATTGTGTTTACTTAGCTAACCATGGTTTCTCTGCAAATTATCACCATCCATATTTAGAAAACAAATGACATGACCCCGTTAATTTCCTGGTAGGGTAAAACCAATACCCAACGCAAGGCAATTTCTCCAATGCAATCAATCAGAATACACAGATGAGAGAAAATAGAGAGGTTAAGATGAAATAAAGGGAGAGAGAAAGAGGAATGTAGAGAGTTAGAGAGATATAAAGAGCGGGGAATGAGAGAGAGAGAGAGACCTGGATGGCGTCAATGGTTCCATCAACGCCACAAACTTGGAGGAAGGCATGAGAGAAGGCACGGCGATGGAGTTTGTTCGATGCAGGGCCTGAGCTCTGTATAAGCGTCCCATCCACATCGAATGTCACCACAAATTTGCCCCCTCCCTCCATTCCTCAACTCCAATCACTCCCCTCTCTGTTAACAAAAACTCGACTCTCTCTCCTCCCTCACCCTCTCCCTCTCCCTCTCCCTCTCTCTCTCTCTTGAATTTTCAGTATCGTGCTTCTCTTCTCTCTATCTCTGTCTTGAATTTTCAGTATCGTACTTCCTCTTTCACGCGTTTATTTCCCCGTTTCACTCGGGCAGTACTTCACTGAAACGATTCAAGCTCCCGACGTATTGGTTTGATACGAAACAGTGTTTGCAAAATCAAATGATAACGGTTAACGGGATATGGGCTGGAAGCGGTTTAACCGGCATAATCCGTAAACCCGCGGATTCGATGTGTTCCAATCAGGAAAGTCGCTAACAGTTAAAAGAGTATTAAAAAAAATAAAAAATAAAAAAATATATTAAAATGTAAAAAATATAGCAAGAATGATTAAAACATAACATATTCAAATGTTAAAAATTAATGAAAAAATGGATTTTAACTAATCGATTTGTGCCTTGGAGTAATTTTAAATTTTTCTGAAAAATTTGGGAAAATATAGAAGTGAGTATTAGTGATCAAAAAAATTTAATCTTTACCATAATGTAAATAATATTAAAAAATACATTACGAACCAAATTCCTTATTTTTAAGAATTTATATACATTTTTTAAAAAAAAAATTAAATACCGGTCGATCACCAAAACCGGCCAAAACCGGAATCGACCGTGGCTAGTTCCCATCTAACCGGGCGGTAGGCGATTAGATTGCTATGTTTCTCCAACAATGTGCTAAATAGTAATATGCATGGTGAATCCAGTCGTTCCGATTGGTTGAATAGCGAGTCGATGCATTGGTAGGGGTGGAAATTGGGTCGCGTTAATCAGTAGGCCCGACGGAGCGGCATGACTTGGTTGGACCTAGATTTTGAACCCGATGGATCAAATCTGGGTCTAGGTCCAACTTAGATAATATTAGGTTGGGATCGACCCGACCCAATCTGCCCAAGTGTACATTAGTACAAGGAAAATTGTTTCATGCTGCATTTCCACATCTGCAGTCTAAAAACTGTAAAGCATCCATCTTAGAAATGCATGCAAGTAGGTGTTCCATTTAAAAACAATGGAAACTAACGGTCCAAATATTTTCTTACTAAGATTATTATTTTTAGTTTTTAAATTTTATGTATCGTTTTCATATTCATGATCTCCATGTTAGAGATTATATTTTTTAAAAAATTAAATCTTAAAATCTATCTCAAATATAGATTTATTAAGAGGCTCGCATTTCTACATAGGCGGGCTTGGCCGCATAGAAACCAGGACCTTAGCATAAATACATGCTAATACTATTAAGTATTAAAAAATATACAACCAGACCATTTACCTTTAGTAATAGGTGGTCACAATTAATCTTAATCATTGAATATGAAATTAGATGGCTACAATTATTCCATTAACCAAGCTCAAACTTCAAAATAATTTTTTTCGAACTTTGTGACACATCCAATCTATCAGATGGTTATAAGTAATAGTGACATTCTTGTATTAAAAGGTAAATAGTCTCATTATATACAATTCTATTAAGTATGTAGAAGGGAAACAGAGGTTTTACGTGGGGAATCGGGATGGGATTTATACCATTTGGAAATTGGTTCGGTCCTGAATGATTCCGCATGTGGATTGACAACCCAGATTGGAAATCGCCGGATTTTTAAACATGGCTTGAGACTTAGGAACAAAAAAAAAAATATACTTTTTCTATGAAAAAAAATAAAGTTTTTATTTCCTTAACCTAAACAAGTCAGGGTAGAACTGTTATTTTTCTGGGGGAGTTATTTAATACATAAAAACTATCTTAGCACTTCTTGTTAGGGTTTATCAAACTCGGACGATGCATGTCTAATAAATATAAATGAGTTTGAACTTATTTGCTCCTGGACAACTTGGTCATAGCCAAATGAGGTGGATACTATCTTGCTTCCTCCATTTAAAGGATCCTGAAGAGAAAAATAATAATATTTAGGACAACATATTGAGGCTTTAGTAGGGGTATATAAATCATTTTGCTTGCACAACAACCTAAGTGAAGCAAAATTATCAGAATGTCCCTGCATCTACTCGTTCATGCTTCTTAGCCTTTAATTTCAAACAGTCTTTTTTAAGATTACCCGAGTGAGACAAAAACTTAAAATTAACTAATGTAATGTTAAATAGAAAAAAATTATATAAGGTTGCAATCTTAAAATGTAAAATAAAAGATTCACCTCAAAAATTCATTGGAAAAAGTTGTTTTAATATTGAAAAACCCTCTAATTGATCATCGCAACATCGAGATGTATGAATATGAAAAAAAAAAGAAAAAGATTTTGAGTCCCAAAAATAATGCATCTTGCAACACATTATCTAGACCGTCTAGTTTCAAGATTTTCATATGTTTATATATCTACTTGATTTTAATCATCTTAAAATTTTATAATTTTAGATGAAAATAAATTTTAAGATAATCCTAAAAAAATTTTACACCAAAATTACGTGTTATGGTAAAATTTGGAGGTGCATCGTAATTGAATTGTTTAAAGTTGTAACTTCACAAAATCGTAATTTATAAAAGTTTGAGGATGTAATATGTCAAACAAAAAGGAAAAATATCACTAAAACAGTAAAACAACTTCACAAAATCATTACTATGGTCAAATCACCAAATTTAACATGGGCTTGAAAGTAAAATAAAAATCTTAATTTTTTTTAGAGAAATTTATGCTCATGGTCCCTTAATGTAACATTATTATTCATACCCTTTGGTTCTCTCTCTCCCTTTATACCCTTTTGCTCTCTCTCCAAACCCTATTGTTCTCTCACTCACTAATTAAAAAAGAGAAATTTACACAAATACCACCCATAATTACTATTTTACGTGTATATTATTTTTTTTTTTAAAAAAAATTAAAATTGGCATCACTTCGTATCTTTAAGACCTGAATGACAAAAGTCATTTTATACCCAAAATTGCCACTTTGAATATTCAATATCCAAAGTCACATTTGACTTTCAGATATTGAAAAGACAAAGTTGAGTCCTCGTATATCAAAGTCAAATATGCTTTTGATTTTTAGTTAATGTAGATGCTCCTCTTAATTTTGGCTACAAGAATTTCTAGGGACCTATGACTTTGAACCTTATTAGCCCAACACACCATATAATCCATACACCCCAGAAAAATCCCAGAAATGTCACTTAACTTAGCAGCTTAGAATATTTGAAATTCAACAAAGTTGCCCAATTGGAGCAAACTTATATAAAAAAAAAAAGAAAAGAAAAGAATAAAGAAAGAAAGAAGAAGAAAAAAAAAACAAGATGTAACCTCTCAAATGTTAATTAAGTTCATTTGACCCTGATTTGAAAGGATTTTCCAAAATTTAATAAGTATTTTAGAGATATGAGTAGGAATTTTGATAATATGCCTTTTTCGAGGAGTAGGCTTTTCCCGCTCTACAGCTACATCTAGCGCATTCATTGGTCATTTGTCATGTGCTCATGTGTTCATAATATAACGAGTAACTAGTATATGCCCAAGAGTGGATGCAATAATATACATTTAATCTAGGTTGATTTGACGATGATAGTTGTATTTCGAATTTCAATTTTAGTATTTTTAATTTATTTTTTTACAAATTCAAATTAGTTGAAAATCTAAGTATCAACGTTTCTCATCAAGACATACTTAATAAAAATTATTTAAAAATAATGCACATAAAATAAATGGACCAAAACATATTTAGAATTTTAGAGGGTATTTTGGTCGAATTAATTTTTATAAATTATTCATAATTTTTTTATATGTGCTTATTTTTCAAGGGTTTACACTCTAAATTTTAAATAATTTAGATTTATAATTTTTTTTTTTTCAAATTTAAAATAAACTGGAATGGCACCCATTTGATGGCTTAAATTGAATGTGGATAATTGGGCTTATACTATTGGATTGACGACGGCTGTAATTTGAAGTGTGCACACTATGACAGACAACCACATAAACTATAGGATCACCAAATTCATCACCGCCCATTCAACTGATTGGCGGCGATCATGCTCCCCCACCTTATTTATATATACTTCCAAAGAATTGCAAGAAACCCATGCCTTACCTTTGTGCTATTGGGGTGCACAAAAATTCTAGAGAGAATAATTAATTGTTCCACGATTGTATTCTTGGGGTGCACAAAATTTTTAGAGAGAGAAAAATCGTTTTCGTGCCAAAACATTTCAGTGGTTTGTCATTGAACCATGGATGGGTTTTCTCATTAAACTCGTTGCGAGGTCACGATTTTCTCTCTCATGATTTTTTCTCTCTCTACATCTGTGAACCATGTCGGCTCGAATGCTCAGGAAGGTTCTCCAAGAACAAGAACAACTGCGGAAATCAACTGATCACGAACCTCAATGTCAAGAGGACTCTGATTCCTCAGAATCACCAGCTCCTTCGAGAAACCCATTTGATATTCTCGATGACCAGGTTGGTTTTCTACTTCTCTGCAATATTTGATCCTTCAATACATGGATTTTTGTACACCCATATTGTTTGATAAAGTTGATTGCATGATTTTCTCATTTAAATTTTCTCTGAATTTCTACTATTTTCGACCCCTATCGGTTTTTTTTCTCGCATATCTAATTTTTTTTGGACAGTTGGTAGAATTGGGGTTCTTAGTTTGATATGATATGTACACTAATGAAGTTGGGTTTTCTTAATTTGTTGTTTTCATTTTTATTTTTTATTTTTTGGGTATTCTCTATGGGGCATAGAATTGAAGCCATTAATGTGTGTAGTCTTGCATCTTCGAGAATATAGATTATTGGGTTTGAGCTTATACATGAGATGCTGATATTGTAACAAATTGAGGAGGAAAAAGAATATGTTATTTGTATGATACGGGGTCAGGGAAATATTGTTTAATATGTGCACAATCACAAGTATAAAACCTGTGAATTTATGAATCTATTTGTTATGGAGAATTCAAGGTTTGGCCTTTGTATTTGTAATCGAGCTTCTTCAATTGGTAGAAATCCATATCTAGGGCTTTTGTTTTGTGGTATTTAAGATTAGTGACTTGTAATCTCTTCAATGTGGTAACAATGACTTTTCATGACCTTTTCCCCCTGAAAGAACATGGTAATCCAGTAAGAATAAACTGTTTTAGCTATTTCTTACATGCTGCGCTATTTGTAATTATTGATGAATTAAATCAAAGTACAAAACAAAGAAGAAAAAGGGAACGTTATTGGGGATAATTCCATGTATGGGGCTTGATAGTTTTAAAAGAACACTCCATATACATGCAACTTATTCATTCAGTTTTTATGTTTTTCATTCATTTTTTATGTTTGTAATATATTAATGTGGGCCATATCTCCAATTAGCAAATTATTTGGTCAAAGCTTAGTGAATTTGGGTATTAGATGTGGCGTTTTTTTACTACCATTGGAGAGGAGCTGCTAGGCAATTTACACTTTCTTCTTTGTAATTTTCTTTTTTTATTTATGAATTTATCATATGAATGGAGAATATTGTGGCAATCAACCTGCTTCAAGTCTCTTTCTTGATACGAGTGTTTGATAAGACTTGCCTAAGTCACTAAGGTTCGGCATCTGCTGAGCTCAGAACCATTCACATGGGAACCAGCTGTTTCCCATAAACTTTTTTTGTTGGATTCTTCCGAGTACAGTCTCGGCGTACTCTGACAGACCTGACTCGAGATAGGGACCTTAGCAAGTCCCAACCCAAGTCCATGTTTTCTTACACTGCTTGACAGTTTATTTGATTCAGTAACTGAGAGCATTAATTTGATTGTGGCTTTGGCTTGATTGATTAAGATGTTGACAGTTGCAATACTATTTCCCAAGTTCAAATCCTATCATTGAACTACTAAAAGAAGAGGAAACTAAAGAAGAAGAAGAATCAAAGTTGATTAACTTTGACCATAGTAAATGATCGAGAGGCCTAGGAATATCTAATTCAAAGTATTGGAAAAATGCCAAAATATAAAATTTCAAGTAACATGCACATGATACTTGGTCTCAGTGCTGTATCACATGGAACTTCTGTTCGTGTTATGTAAATATAAACCACCATTTTCTCTTTTATTTAGAGTTCCCATTATTCTGCATACATATATGTGAGAGCAGTTGCAATACATGGAGCCTTTATTCCAGTTTTCATTTTTGACAAAGAACAGGTTGTTGTTGGTTTTGCTAATGGATGTTCCAAGCTTTGTACATTATGATTCTTCTTAGTCTTTTAGCCTTGTTCATTGTTACTTCCATGAGTATATCCCACTAGTGCCTTCGCTTTTTCTTTTCGCTATATTTCGACAGCTTCCCTAACGAGTGTTCCATTTCCTTTCTATTGGTTGCTACATTTTCTTGTTCTTTCTGGGCAAACGGTATTTCTCTTTCTGAATTTTGATTCATTAGGATACAATACTCATTTATCTAACACCTCTTGTAAAAAAAAATTTGAGCAGGCTGATGAAGAAGAAGGAACTAACGAAATTATCACATCTGACGTGGAAATTAAACCAAAAATGACTGAAGTAATAAATTCAAAAGCTATTAGGAAATCAAAGAAGAAAAAGAAAACAAATAAAGAAAATTCCACCTCTACAAAGGGTGAAAATGAAGTCGATTTGATTTTAAAAGGGTTGTCTATAAGTAGCACACACTCCATCTCAGAGAATGAGCCTTCTAAAAGTGAGGAAGGGGTTGGAAAAACAAAAGGAGTGGCTGCAAAATCGCATACCAACCTTCGGAAACCACAATCACAATCAATTTTAGCTGTTGACCCCAAGTTTTTAAGGGCTGAGAATGAGTTGAAAAGGATTTTTGGTTCCAAAGTTGTGAGTTCGTTTGAGAACAGCCATAGTGTTGGCAGTTCAAGGCAAATGCATGGTGCACGAAGGGGAGGCATCAGTTCTAGAAAGACCATACTTATTTCTCCATTAGGCGACTGGCCTCGTTGGGATGGTTCTCTTTCCATGGACTTTTTGGAGACTAAAGATGGGCAAAATTTTTTCAGGTACTTTTTTTTTTAGTTATTTGCCAATAGATGATGCTGTTGCTGTCATATGTTCCTCTTATATTGTAGAGATCTTTTCCATTTATCCTTGTGTGAACTCCTTTTTAAAGTTTCTTCAGTTGTCAACTGAGATCAAATATTCAAGGGGTGTTATGCTTTTTTTTTTGCCTTGGCTATATTCTTGAAATTTGTAATTTCACTTTTGCATTGTTGAACAGCTGCAAATTGCATATGTTCATAGTTAGCATGGTCCATGACTTCTTTGTCTTATGAAATGTTACTTAGTTAGCATGGTTCATGACTTCTTTGTCTTAAGAAATCTTAATTCTCATGTTTGTTTGTTCCTTGTTAACAGGATATCTGTCTTAAGAAATGTTACGTACTTCTCATGTTTGTTTGTTCCTTGTTAAGAGGAAATCTACCATATTCAAGCACCTCCATTGAATAAAAATGTTGTATACTCAATGAGTATTTTTCCAGCATGGAATAGTTGTATGTGAGGATGGTGACAAGATGCTTATTTTTTCTCTTTTTTGGGAAGTGGTTTCGTCGTAAAATGGATATACAATGACCCAACTACGACCCTTATGATGCCATTCTCTAGCTATGCAAAACTATAGTTACCCGAAGCGATTCCAAAACCGAATTGATCGAGGAATTGCCATCAGCTGGAATATTCTTGTTTTTGGAATCAACTCTGTACAAGAGGAATCGTGGGGGGCAATATTCCTATTTTTATGGCTTGGGATTCCGCCAAAATGAAATTGAGAATCCTTCATAGATGGGATGAGATTCCTAGCTCGTTGGAATCAAGTTTTCGACCAAGTTGGAATTGAGATTCCTTCATTTATGGAATCGAGATTCAGACATCTTTAGAATCGAGAGGAACTGAGAGGGAAACAATACATATCTTAATACCATTCATTGATCGACATATCGTACATACACATCTACGTTATTTGTGTTACAGTATTTGATTTATTTCTAACATTTTGGAGTTGCAATCTCTCCATTGGATCAATACATTGCATACTTAAAGAACTAAGTAGAGAACGTGGACCACCACTTTAGTTTCTATTGGTCATTACATGGCAAAAAAGAGGGCTACACCTTGTAGCTTGAGATTGGGTGTTTAGCTCGAGTAGTTTGATGCCTCTAAAACTTCTAAACACTTCTCAGTAAAAAGCTAACAATAATAAAAAATAGAAGTGGTAGAACTTTAGTAAATATGGAAACCAGTTTCATTAAGTGTAGAATCGAGATTCACCAATTGTGGAATCAAGAATGAATAAATATTGGAAATGTGATTCTATTAGTGTTGGAATCTATATTCCTAAAATAAGGAATTGAGATTCTAGACTTCACGGAAACAGGTTCCATGAAGATTCCTTCTCAGAATCGCCGAATTGTGATTCCGAATCGGAATTGCGACCTTCGATGAAAGATTTGGGGAACTATTTGCAAAGCCATAGACATTTTCCAATGCATTCTTGTTAGTGCATTAGATGATCATGAGTCACTTCTCTTATTTTTGGATCCTTTAGCAAATACTTTCTCAAAAAGAAAAAAAAAAAAGGCAAGTTAATTAACCCTTCCACAATGAAATTTTCTGTTGACTGTTGGTTCATTTAGGAAACCTTCCAAATCATCATTTGTGAAGGAAAATATTCACACTTCAGGGACATTTGTGCGCTTTGGTCTATTATTGATATAAGTACATTGTTGACTGTTAATTTATTTTATCATTTTCTTTATGACTTAATATCATGATGCAATGCATATGACCAATCATGGCACATGTTGTGTTCCATCCTGTAGGAACATGAAGACATAATCCTTAATACTGTTAACCTGCATTTGCTAGGCAAATTTCTAAATTTTTACAGCAAGCTTTTGACTCTTCTTGGGCTTGCATCCTCGCGGTTGGTTCGGGATCATGCAAACCTTGGCTCGGCTGAGATCCAGTGCATTAACATCCCTAGATGTATGGTATTAATTTAGTACGGATGGGAATCATTCTGGGCTGAGTCGGGCCTGGACCCAACTTAAAACTTATGGCCCAACAGGTGAGTAAGGAGAAATTCCATGATTTTACCCAACACACTAGTATCTCTGCAGCATGCTTTTGGATTGGGCTCAGTCTTACTTCCTTGAGCTCATTCTAGTCCTAAACTATTTGGCTAACCCTGGCCGGAGTCCATTGCCTGATGTGTGCAACTTCTCTTTAAGACTAAAAAGAAGTGTAACACAACTTGTTTGTATCCTCCCACACACTCATATTTCATTTGCAATGTCCAGTATAATGTTCGCCATGTAGGGAAGTAGTATGATAACTAAACATTATGTTTCTCCAATGCTATTATCTGCATAAATTTTGTTGCTTAATTCGTTGAAAAGTGAAAGAACACAAGTATCCGACTGTCTTAATGATAAAAAGAAATTTTTATGCACTTATGTTGGCATTCTCCTATACATTATACTTCATTTACATCAATGTCCTGTATAATGTTCATCATAGAGAGAACAATTACGATAATTAAACCTGATGTTTCTGTGAAGCTATACAGGCATAAATTCTGTTGCTCTATTTTCAAACAGTTGTTCATTGAAGTATTTAATGGAACTAGTGATAAGAAATATGAAATTACTGATAAATGGAAACGAGAAGAAGTAATTGACCAAAAAGATAGATAACAAGAAAAAATACCTTAATGAATTCTTTTGCCATTTATATGCTCCTTGTTTCTTTCTTTATTGAGGGTTTCCTTGCCTGGTTATTCTCATTGCTATTGTTGTACACTGGACAGATACATGCATTCAACTTCATATGATCATGCACAAAGAATATTTGAAGCGGCGAAATCTATCCACGATCTCAATGGCATTGCAAGTATTTTAGCCTACCATCCTTATCATGCTGAGTCTCTCTTAACCATTGCAGAGGTCTTCAAATTTTCAGGGGAGCATCAATTATCCGCCGATGCTATTGGAAAGTGCTTATATGCCCTAGAATGTGCATGGCACCCACGCTTCAATCCCCTTCAAGGCAACTGCCAATTGAAATTCACCTATGATACAAATAAACCTATATTCACTGCCCTTTTCCACCACATGCAAAACCTAGACAGGCGAGGGTGCCATAGATCAGCTCTCGAGATTTGCAAGCTAATGCTGTCACTGGACTCAGATGATCCAATGGGCGCTCTCTTTTGTATTGATTATTTTGCCCTTAGGGCAGAGGAATATGCATGGCTAGAGCACTTTGCCGATGAGTATGAAAGCGATAATTCTCTTTGGCTGTTCCCAAATTTTTCCTATTCCCTTGCAATTTGTCGCTTCTATCTTGAGAAGGATTCAACAAACAAAGAAATGCAAATACAATCTGAGAGATCGGCATCAATTGATCTTATGAAGCAAGCTCTGATGCTCCATCCTTCAGTATTAAAAAAGTTGGTTGCCAAGGCACCTTTGAAGGATTCAACATGGACAAAGATACTTGGGAATTCTTTCTTTGGGTCCGCTAAATCTGGAGGACCCACCCTAGAGCATCTGATCAATATATATGTAGAAAGAAGTTATATCATGTGGAGGTTCCCAGATCTGCAGAAACTGTTGGAACAGGCTGCTCTTTTGGCAATTGAGTCAGTGAAATCTAAGGACAATGAAGCAAGGGACTGGGTATGCATGAGGAAAGAAGCTTTCTCATCAGAGAAAAATGAGTAAGAACTAAGCAGTCTTTAAACCTTTATTTTTTCTCTAATAAGGTTATCTTTTAGGTTCATTTCAACTAGCTTCGCTAGACTTAGCTGTTTTTCTAATGGCCTTTTGATTAAGTTGTTCTTTCATTCATTTTAGCAAGATTTCACTAGATTGAGTTGTGTTTTTAAATTTCCTTGCAGTAACATTTACAAGTTTCCTAGATTCAGCTCGTTTTTTAAGTACACAGTCTTGTTGGAAAAAAATGACCAAGTAATTTTTACACCTACTTTTGGGAAGCTTTCCTAGGGTTAATTGGTCCTCGAAATTTCCATGCCTCGTAGGAGAACATTGACCAAACACTCTCTCGTTGCCCCTATTTTAGCGGGTTTAGCTAGATTGAACACTTATTATTTATGCGATGTTTTTTCATAAATCTTCCTTAATCCTTGATTTTAGTGAGCTTGGCTGGTTTTAGCAAGGTTATTAATTGTCTGGTCCCATGAATTGCAGGTACTCGCACCTTTTGGTATCAGATTTCTCAGATTCAGTCCCGGGCATGCCACCTGAGGACTTGAGGAATCTGATGGTGGACCCACGTATGCTGCAAGCTATGCCTAATGAAGGTCATGGGTTGCCGCCTCCTGAGGATCGGGCCCCAACTCGAGAAATATTAAACAGAGACCCATTAATGGTTTTCTTGGAGTCGATGCTCCCTTGGATTGATTATGGACTTCATGAAGATGCCCAGAATGGCCACCCCAACCAAGACCATGAAGAAGAGAACCCGCAATAGTACATAATGGTCTCTCTCTCTCTCATGTCCAGGGCTAGTGTGGTTTGTTTGAGGGTAAACTTTTAGGTTTGTCTCAAGGTTGAAAGAGAGTTATGCAGTTATAAAGGCCATAGGCCATTAACAACATAATGTTATCGTCTTCATATCGCTAACCTGAAGTCCAACATACCTGTTGTTTACACTAAGTGCTTTTTTCATGTAATGGCCATTAGCTGTTACTGTTATAATGGTTATTTCACATTGTCCTAACAATGTCTGGACTCCCAACCTTGACGTCCTGATGCAAACCAGGTCACACGACTGGACAAAGGCCAAGGGACCATTGTCTCCATGAGTGTGTGCTAGCTGCCTTGTATGAGGGACAACATTTCAGGAACAAGCCCTTGATCTCCCTGATATAAATTAGTTGATGTTTCTTTTTCTTCATTCATTTTTAGTGCTTCTTTTGCTTCATAAATATCTTTCCTCGGTCTTGTCACAGTCGCAGACTATGAAAAGCTTCTAGCTCTGCACCCTACGACTTATATCACTGGAGTGCATAATGCAGGATAGAGAGATGAAGCCATTAGAAGAGTTTGCAGCTGGAGGTCATAAGGACTCAAGTTGCTTAAAGTGAAAATCGCTTATGATTAGGTCCATTTGCAGCTGGAGGTCATAAGGACTCAAGTTGCTTAAAGTGAAAATCGCTTATGATTAGGTCCATTTATCTGTTTTTGTGAGCATTTTAACTTCTATATATTTTGTGAATTTCTGGCATTAATTGTCGACCTCCCATGGTCTTTTAAGCATCTTCTCTATTGTTTTGCCTGACTTAAAGACTTTCCGAGTTTGTATATAATGAGAAGAATGTATTGAAATGGGTGTCGGTGCCATGGGGCAGTTAAAAATCAATTTGTCTGAGAAATCTTATGGCAATTGAAGAGATTGATATCTTCTTTTCAAGTTCATCAGTGCGTTATCTGAAGACAACATTTGCCCTTAGGGTTCACTAGGTAAATTTGTCTTCAGGATACGTAAAAATAGAAGATACAAAACCTATAGGAACAAATTTCGATGTACTAGAGCTGTCTTTTTTTAAGAGTTTAAACGAAAAAGCGCAAGTGTGTGTACAAATCTATATCTTCAATCCTATTTATAATGTGTGTATTTTCAAGTTATTGCTTGTGACTGTTCGATGCCTCTTGACTTCGTTTCAAGAGTTCCGTTGCATAATGCCATTTGATTGTTTTAACAATCATAAACCCTCCGTCACTTAAATGCCTTTGTCACTCGGCATGCAACAGTATTCAAAATCAACCATCACACACACAGGTTTGTATGTCAATCGTTACGATGTTGTAAGCAATGGTTCGAATTGGGCATACGCAAAACCCATTTGGATCGGTGAATCGGTATTTCGGATCGGGAATCGGTCGAATCGGTATTTTAAAAAAAATTCAAAAAATTATTAAAAATTATTATAAATATTGTTTTTTAAGAATCCAATAAAAAATGAAGGTACTACATTAATAATTTTTATTTTTTAAAAATTCAAAAAATTATTATAAATTATTATAAATATTGTTTTTTAGGAATTTAATAAATAATGAGGGTACTACATTAATAACTTTTATTTTTTTGTATCAATATACGAATATTGAGATATTCTTTTTCCGTATGAAGATTTTCATCAAACATCTATTAAAACCTAACTAAATACAATATTATACATTGAAATTATTGGTTTGTATTTTATTATTTTATCATCATTTTACTATACAAATAAGAATAAATTTGAAATTTGTGTTATAGTATCATCTAATTTAAAAATCTAATTTACAACTATAAGAAAAAACAATACATTATATAATTTATAATGTAAATAAATTAATAAATAAAATATAAAATTTGATTATCATTGTAATTAATATAGTTATTAATTACAATATTATAACAAACATTATTCAAAAAACAAGATATGGCCGTCATAAAAAATAAAAAAATTCATTAAGTACTTAGAAACTAAAAATCCATTTTTTTTTTATATAAATATTGATAGATTTTAAAATGGAATACAATATTTTGGATTCTTTTTTATTGTCTAAACAGAAAATATTTTAGATACAAAAGTACTCAATGGGCTTGTTTGATACCTGGAAGTAAGTTCATGAATTTTAAATTGGAAGTTCTTGAAGAACTGTAAATTAAAAGTTACTTAAGAAGTTCTTTATGTGTTTGATAACCTCCTTGAAAAATTAAGAAGTTCTTGAAGTTAAGAAGTTCCTGGTTTATGTGTTTGATAACCTCCTAGGACTTCTTTGGAAAATTAAGAAGTTCTTGAAGTTAAGAAATTCATGGTTTATGTGTTTGATAACCTACTGGGAAGTTAAAGAAAACTGTGTATCTACATTGGATTAGCTTTAAGTAATAGACAAGATGTAAAAAGTTAAAATTGAGACTTAGATATTAGTTATTTTTTATTAATTTGCAAAACATTATTTTTTGGGACACAATATCAATTGAAAGTAAAGTTAGTTGGATTAAGAGAGAGTTTGTAGAATATTGTTTTTTGGGATATAATATCAATTGAAAGTAAAGTACGTTGAATTGAGATAGAAAAAAAGTGTGTTATGAAAGAAAGTTTTATTGATGAATGAGAGAAGCATCCTAGAGAGAGAAATATTTGTATCAATTGAAGTAGAGGTTGCATGATAAACTTCATTGCACCTCAAACTTGAAGCAATCTGTAGATAATGTCAAGCACAACCTCAATTCAATATTATGTACCAAATCATTAGTTTCCTAATCGACTATCTTAAAATAGAAATCAATATATTTTCTTAATTATTGTGGGTATACAATTTGTTGAGTCTTTTTACAAATATGAAGTGGAATAAGTGTTTAAATTTCATAAATAAGTTGTCGATGACTTTCTTCTTAAATCGATTACAGACTCTCTCGCTTTCTCGTTATTCTTCACACACACGTGCACACACATGCACACTCATATCTATTGACGGCCATGGCAATTGTGGATTGGTTTCTTATATTCTATTGGATTGTGCTATAATCATTTCAACACAACATACAAACATACATGCACAATGAATGCATCCATATGCAAGCAATACGAAACCATCCCATTGAATAATAACATGTAATAGCTTGAACATTACTTAGACATACATTCACCACTTATGCATCTATATCATAACCTAAAATATATATCTCATTCAACAATAAAACAATATTGTTATTTGTCCCACAATGCTCCTAACACTAAAAAAAAAAAAGATTTAGACTACGATTAGAACTTTAATAAAATTCATACCTTAATTCCCGAATTGTGCACAAATGCTAGCTACATTTTTCTGTTTCACATTTTACTCATGGATAACTCAAATTCAAAACACCAATTCTTCGTTTATCTAAAATATCCAAAGATTAGATTGATTGATTCAATCTAACTTTGTAGTATTGACAATAATTTATCGCCAAACACTTAACTCCAAAAAATGTAAAAATAAACCCAACTCCAAATTCTTAACCTTTTGAACTCTTTGCCAAGCCTTCTCTCTCGAGACTTTGCCCTAATTTGCTTCTCCTTGTGTGCCCTTTCTTCGTTTGGTTTCCTCTTCTTGCTCGATCCCTCTTTTCCCTTCAACTTTCCAGCTGAAAAATCCTCATTTTCCTGAACTTCATCAGCCAAAAAATCATTTTCAGGCGAGCTTTCCTTGTTACTCTTCTTTATGAGCTTCTTTCTAGGTTTAGCTTTAGGCTCATCTTCTTCACCAGAATCCATGACTGGCGTGGGTGATCGCTCCGTTCCCAATCTTCTTCTTCTGGTTCTAACCCATGTCCGAATCCATCAATGGCTCTCCATCCTCATCCCGATAACTGAATTGGAAAAAAAGGAATAATTATTATGGAAATTCACGCTGAAAAAAATGGCAAAAAAGAATTGGAAAAATCAGTGAAATGAATTGAGCTCACGGATCATCTTCATATGCCATGACTAAGAACTTGAGCTGTGGAAGAAAGATGGATCACTAGCTTCGTAAGGAAAGGAAGGGAAGGGATTTTCTAGGGTTTTCAGAATGAAAATCTTTATCCGATGGAAAATCTATGAACGAAGAGACGGGTGCTCAGCGGCAAAGAGAGGGGTGCGCAGCGGGGAAGAAGAGAAAAGAGGCTAGGGTTATCCAAGGAGAGGAAGTTACGAACTTCCAATTTTAAGTTCCGACCTTTGGGTCGGGGGACTTAAGAAGATGAACAGTAAATTGAAGTTTTGATTTGAAGTTCTCATTTTCTATCAAACATGAAAGTTGAACGGTACTAAGTAGTTTTTTAGCGCTTGGTGACATCACAAATCGTTCCACGGCGTCATAGATCGGATGCTATGATGTCATAAAACGGATTTTGGACTACAATATCGCCACGTGTTCATGCAATTTTCAATTTTGTTTTAATAAAAACAATAGGCATGCTACCTGCCGGCTACAATTTAAAAGCACACAAACCCCACTTCAAGCATATGCTTCTAAAGATGTCTCAATGGGTTTTATATGTACTTGCTCAAGTCTCAAATCTTCGTTTTGTAGGATTGTTTTGTTTTTTCAAATAGAAAAACTAAAACAAGTGGTGAAAAAGAGTGCATGTACCGGCAGAATCACAATGTACATTTAATCCCTTAGATGCAAAAGCTTACTTATGGGACGTATTTGATAACAGGACGTGTCTTTCTGGAAGTTTGTGATGTCATGGAACGATCCGTGACGTCATTAAGCGAGAAAAACAGATGGATCTCGTTTTATTAGTGGATCCGAAATACCGTCACCGATATCCAATCTAGATCGCCCAATTCCGGATCAGATCGACGATTTTTAAAATACTGATTGTAAATATGCCTAAACCACCAACATGCACTCGATGCCGTGATGTTGTGATGTGATGTTAGATATGACATTGCAAATGGCTTCTATGTGCCAATGTGCATTTCAAGGGTCTCTGCCGATGATCTGAAACAATATCGCCGATATCCAATTTGGATTGCCCAATTCCAGATAGGATTGATAATTTTTAAAACACTTATTGTAAGTATGCCTAAACCACCAACATGCACTCGATGCCGTGATGTGATGTTAGATATCACATTGCAAATGGCTTCTCTGTGCCAATGTGCATTTCAAGGGTCTCTGCCAATGTGAACAGGTAAAGTATATTGCAATTGCCTCTTGTATCTCTCAATGGTTTTGAAAATCAACCATCACACAAAAGTTCGCATCTCAATCGCACAAATAATCCAACATGTACGCCCCACCAGTAAAACAAAATCATGATGCGATGCTAGACATGGTTCCAGCGATATTATCAATGGTTGCCTCTGCGCTGATGCAGGTAAATGAAGTGCACCCATTACGACAAATTCACTTAGCTTTGGCCAAAGAGATTGAAGCCTTCAGAATTTAGGCTTAGATTGAAGTGAAGCGCAGCTTGGTGCTGCCGTTTCAGCTAGATTTGGACCGCTTCAGTCAGATTCGGATTTGCTTTAAATCGATTCGGCTTAAGCTTT